GCGTTGATTGAACGGTGGTGGCGAGGGGCGGGCGTGCGGGCGGGCAGGCGGGGTGAACCGTTGTACACAGTAATTAATGCAGCTTGTTATTTGTGCTGTCAATCACGTGACAGTGGTGGATTTCCATCAAGAGCTGTGGGCAAGACGGCACGCTAAGACGCATTGCCTGCACATTGTGCCTTCCCCTCCCCCCTCCGCCTCCAGTAGAAATGTGATGTTGCGTCTCACCAAGCCGGATCTCTTCTCTTCGTCGCGCCACGACGAACGGGGCCGTCGTTTTATAAAGCGCGCAAACGCCTTTCCGAGAGTATCGGTCGTGAGCGGAGTAACCTTTGCCCATTATTGATGAAGCAAGCAGCAAGGGCCGGGGCGGCCGCAGCCGCAGCCTTGGCACGGGAGATGCCGTAAGATCTCGGGACGTGGGAACTCATTGACGAGGTGCTCTCGTTTCACTCCCGAAATGCGCGAGCGACCCATCGTTTCCCAGGAGGAATTTGAGTCGGGGGGGAGTTGGGGTGGCCGGCTGATGGGAAAACGGGGTCTCCAACGGTTAACGAAAGAAAAGAAAATCTATAAGACGTTGCTCTCAACCGGTGAGATTGATAGCGAGTCTAATGGAATTGGTTTAATTTTGTTTTTGTGGCATTCGTTGAAGAATGTTTTACATTCTCGGCTTAGCTCTGCCAGTTATTGATGTTAAATTTTACGTAGAAGCGGTTTGGTTGAAGCAAACGAGTGGCCGGTGGTGACCTGCGGGTTTAATGTAAGAATGAAAGATTAATGTGAGGTTTAATGTAAGATTAACCTTATTTTCAATAGTCATGGAATTCTTTAATTCCAATCAACCGAGTGGTTATTGTTTTTTGTGCACCACTGTGAAGAATTCTCAACGCGTGATTGCAATCACCTTCACACCGCGCACGCCGACGGCTCGGAGCGCTGCTGGAGATCGTTGAGTTCCCAGGCGAGCTACTGGCAGGACTCGATGCGAACGTGATCCCCGTAGACTCTCACCGGGACCGCGGGAACTCCGATTAGAAGTGACAGATTATCATCCGAGACGAGTCGGATGTCAGTAAATGCGTACAATTTACCTGTGTTGCGTTTCACCTCGATTATTCGGTTTTAGCTCCTAATCCTACCTTACTTTAATTGTATAGCAGTGCCCTAACGAAGGCCTTAACTAAGGCGCTGGACAGAGAATTAGCAATTGCCCAGTGAACCGGTATGATGAAATAAAGATGAGTTTATGAGAAGAATGGGAGTGCACGATGCACATGACAGTGCGTGAATTCAACGAAAATGAAAGTGACAGCGAGTGAATGATGATGATAAGTGAGTGTGATGGAGAGGGGTGATGATGATGATGACGCTGCTGTTGCTTAATGATGGGGGAAGGAGGGGGGGAGGGGAGTTTGGGGCGAGAGAGAGAATGTACGACGTGTAAATCGTCGGGCCCGTCTGGGAACAAGTGGAAGTGAAACGCGGACGAGGAGCGAGGTGGAGAGTGAGACAGAGAGGCGGAGGCGGTGGCCCACTTTTTATTCCCTTGACTTGAAGAGACACCGCGTGGCCATGCGGCATCATCACACGTCTCACGGAGGCGAGTTCAAGGGGAGCGTCTTGTCATACGCTCTCTTTTTTTTACGATCAGAGGAAACAAGAAGATGCTCGGTGTATACACCATTGGTACCTCATTTGGCAGTAAAAAATATATGATAATTGGTTTTTTACCCTTTTATCTGGCAACAAAACTGACACGTTTTTTATGAGGAGTGCGCCTTTTGGCGTCATCTGGTCCAACACCATGTGAAACTAGGCTCTAAGGAAAGCTGTCTCGGGTGTGGACCAATCAACTTCAAGGACAGTGCATACATTATCAGAGTTATGTTTTTTGTTTGCATTATGACTGCAAGTATTGTGGTCTATGCAAACATGACTCCTCGTAAAAAAGGTGTCAGTTTAATTGCCAGATAGAAGGGTAAAAAAACAATTATCATGCTCGGTGTAGTCGGCACTTTGCAGCGATCATCATTTCTTTTTTTTATGCTTTGCTTTACGTAAACCCCCCCCCCCCCCCCTTTTTAAATGAAAGATTTCACAATAGATTTCACGCTCTGCTCTCCTTACCCCTTCCTTCCCTCTCTCTACCCCCTCTCTCTCTCTACACTCTCTCTCCCTACTCCATGTCTATGTACCCCTATGTTTTCTATGTAATATTTATTATATATATTTTTTACGACAAGTGCTGCATCTGCACCCAGCCCTTCTCGCAGTCCTATGGCCTCCGACGGGTAGCTCAGCGAGGGGCGATGCGCGGGGGTCTTGTCGGATGTGGTGAGATGTTTACTGCCTCGCCTGGTATACAGGAGGTCGTGTGTTCGATCCCGACCATGACGCCTGCTGCTGTATATTTGGTGTTTGCGCGTCTCTCTCACCGTGGTCGCGTGGATTTTTCTCCGTGTCCTCCGTAGTTTTTTTTTCCCCTCCACATTTAGAAACATGCGTTGAGAGTGTTTGGCTGCTATGCATTTCCACGTGATAAGCCATTTCGTTGAGCTATCATTTGTGATTAGCCAGGTCGCTTCTGAAAAAAAGAGCTACGTAGCTCAATGGGGCCTTACCTGGTAAAATAAAAAAATGTGTTTAGTTTAATCCCACTCTGTGGGTTTTATCGGCAAATATCAACAAATCATACGAGTGATTTGACACAAAATAATCATTATAACCGTCATCGTCGTGATGGAGAATATAAGCAACGACGTAAATAAGCAGACAGTACACCTCCTTTACCTTATCCGTCTCTCTCCACCAAAATATTAAAAGTTTCTTTTTACAGACCGCATCAGCCGCATGGCAATCGCCTAGGGAGCGCAGTAACTTCAGGTGCGTTGCTTCTCATCGCGAGCAAAACACTGGACTGGTTAAGACACTCATTGTCTCATCAGCAGTCAGGCATGCTTCAATTATTTTTCGTGAACTGCCCGATTTGTATTGGCACGCGCCCTCTTTGGTAGATATGGGTCCGAGTTGGGACGCAATAGCCATATAGTACGTGACACAAAATAATCATGAGCGTTATTGTGGAGAATATAAGTCACAAATTAAACGTGTAGACAATTACCGGTGAAGGCTTTGATTTTCTTTAACCAATGCTGCTGCGAGAATTCACTCCTAGAAGGCCGTATGGCCAATTGGATGTGTATAAATATTTGCTTTTGTTTATGTAAAGCAGGGGTGGGGAACCTTTTTTCTGCCAAGGGCCATTTGGATATGTATAACATCATTCGCGGGCCATACAAAATTATCAACTTAAAAATTAGCCTGTTATATTTGGTCAAACGTTTAATTAACTCACCCCTAATGCGATGACTGGAACTGCTTCTCTTTGGCGAGGCGTGTGATGTTAGCTGGTATTGATGATGTTGCTGCTACTCGCAACTGCTTTTCCAGGTTTGCTCATAGATTTATTGAATCTCGAGTCCCGCCTGCGGTTGCCTTGGCAGGGCCACACCAAATGTTATCGCGGGCCTCGTACGGCCCACGGGCCGGACGTTCCCCACCCCTGATGTAAAGAGACAGCTATGTTGAGTATCGACTTACCTGGGAAACATGAAACGTTAGCCCAACTTTGGCTCAACAGTTCCAAGCACGTGCAGACGTTGGACTAACTCTGGACCAATAGTTTCAACTATGGGCCAACGCTGGGCCAACAGTTCCAGCCACGGCCCGACGTTGGCCCATATTTGGCCCAAAATTTCCAACCACGTGCAGACGTTGGGCCAAGGCTGGACCGATGGTTCCAACTGCGGACCAGCGTTGCGCCAACGGTTCCAACAGCAACGTCAACGTTGGCCCGACGTTGTTTTACTGGGTGTCGGGCTCGCTTCACCGTGCTCTGTAACATTGCGTGCGTGTGTGTACTCTGATGGTGTGGCCAATAACCACTCAATTTATTTATCCAAGATAGCCTCGCTGAGTCTCAGGACTATTTTTCCAGGAGAGAAGGGGGGGGGGGGCCTGCATTGCGATATTCAAGCCACAATGTTCACGATGCACTCGGCCTGTAGGAGGAAACCAGAATACACGGAGAAAACGCGACGTAACGAGACAGACGGACGGGGGAGGGGGGCGGGTAAATGTTCAAAGCTCCGCACAGATGGATTCAAGTTTCCATTGCTAGCCTTCAATCTTCCTGACAATCTCGCCGGCCCCTTACATCGCCTGGCATTTCCAGGGAGTCTCCCGCACAAGTACCTAACCCAGCAAAACATGCCCGACAATTGCCCCACTAACTACCTATTACATACAGGATTGGAGTATTATGCCTCCTCGTCTTCAAGAGTCTCCGGTCACTCTGCTCCGTCCCTACCTCGCCGATTAGCGCGCGCGCGAGCGAGCCAGAACCTCGCGCGCGATGCACGGCTCGGTGCAATCTCGTGGGGTTCGTTCTCCGGCCCAAACGCGCTGGAACCACGGCTGCCTACTCACGCTCGGGATCCATCCCCGAGCCTGAGCCCGTTCTGCGACAGACTCAAAAGCGGCGTCGTTGCTTCAGAGAGCCTATGATAATTGGTTTTTTACCCTTCTATCTGGCAACAAAACTGACACCTTTTTTACAAGGAGTCATGTTTACATAGACCACAATACCTGCGGTCATAATGCAAACAAAAAACACAACTCTGATAATGTATGCACTGTCCTTGACGTTGATTGGTCCACACCCGAGACAGCTTTCCTTAGAGCCTAGTCTCACATGGATTGGACCAGATGACGCCAAAAGACGCACAACTCAAAGACAATGTCAGAGAGCCTACTTCGGACGCGCGATCGGCGCGCACTCGTGGATGGACCGCTACTCATAAGGGGCGCGCAATAACAAATGTCCTTGCTTGCTTGCCCAACTTTGCTTGGCTCCTGTGATGGGAGGAGGAGGAGGGAGGAGGCCACGGCGCCTTAGGCTGCTGTTGCTTGACGATGCTGATGTCCTCTTGTTTCAGACACGCGGGAAGAGAGGGGAAGGCGACTCTTCAGGCACTACACGGTTGGTTCCTACGAAAGCGTCGACCCCAGGTGAGTCGCCTCCTCCTACCTGTGCCACTCTGGCGGTGACGCAGCGCCGGTCAGAGCTACTGTGGGTGGGTGGGGGGACCCACACCGTTGGCAATGTGGCTCGGCGGGTCTCGCCTGGCAGTAAAAACAGCGAGGAAAGTGGCCAAGTTACGTCGCTTTTACCGTCGCGATATTTTACGCCGCGTTGCCTGTCCGCCAGGTGGCGCCAGCGCACCGTGAATTTAGCGAATTGAACGTCGACGGTTTGGCGATGATTGCGTTTTGGCAGTGGTGCACAACCACAAACAATAATAACAACAATAACAGCAGCGGCGCAATACAATGCAAAACAAATCATTCGTGAATAACAGCTGCGTGGCCATTAAAATATAAACGAAATATATGGCGGGCGACGTTTTTTTGGGGGAAATGGTTCGTCTTCATGGCGCATGCGTAGAGAGGCCAGGAATAGTTGATGAGGGTTGGTGCCTCTCTCTCTCTGCACTTTACACCACAAAACCTAAACTATGGACCGTATAGTAAACCCATAGGGACACATAGTCTCATGGAGATACAGAGATACACAGAGACACATACACACTCGTAAAGGAGATACACGCAGATAACATAACAGACAAATGTGCAATTACGGACCGCGTAGCAAAGCCACTGTAGCCTGCATTCCTTCAACGGAGAAGGAACAGCAAAACGGCATGGACTCTCTCCCCTGAAGCCCTCCTCTCGTCATGGCCAGCAGACCTCGACGTTTGGCATTTCACTCCTGAACCCCATTTACATTGCCTCATCCTCCCAACACACCGACTGTCAAGTCAGCCGGGTTCATAATGTCTGCCTATTCCAATCTAATTGCAAGCGCATCACTTATTGAGGCCCTATTGTGATCGGAGCGATGCGCATTGCCGCATACCACGGTGTTGACCACCGAGATTGCTAATCAGAGGAGACGCTCTTTAAATGTGTCCATCTGATGCGAACTTGAATAACCCTCCGTGCCAACTCGACACCAAAGGGTGAGAGGAATTCGATTTGGCGAAGCTCCCTTGGAAAAAAAAAAGCGACGTTCGCTGTGGCCTTCCGCCGCACCAATTCAGCTCAGCGAGAGAGCGGTTCACACGCTGCCGCTCGCAGGTTCGTCGATTTTTCACGTCACGGCACCGCGCACCGAAGTCGGCTCGCTCACGCGGACGTACGCCGGGCCGAAGTGATTTCGAAACGTATTATGCCACGCTGCACCCCACTGGCGGAGGATACATCACTCGACCATGTGACTGTAGCGGGGGGAAGGTGAGGGGTGGGGGGATAAAAAAAAACTAAAATTGCTGATGTACAGATTTGCAGCGGCCAATCAGGAGAGACCTTTATCCACAGCATTCCCGTCTACACCTTGCTCTGATTGAAATGCGCATCTGCCTTGAGCCACTTGTTCAAACTGGATCAGATTATATTCATGATGCGCGCGCTGCAACGCCGGATGAAGCTGTTTGTGAAAAAAAAATGTTGCTCCCACGAAACCCGGCCGTGCATTAATTTCGCCCAAAAATGTGAAAGTCTGATGAAAAATGTTTTTTATCGTGAAATATCTGTGCACGTTGCCTACGAAATGTGGCCTCCCCCGCCAGCAGTGACTGCCAAGGATGTAACAAACTACTTTCTTCTGCTGCTGCTGCTGCGTTGGCATTGGTGCACAAGCACAATTAACTTAACACATTCGTCAATAACTCTGCGGCCTTAAAAGGAACAACAAATATATATTATAAAATATATCTATAGAGAGTAAGTGACGTTTCGGAGCAATAGCCCAAAACGTCACCTATTGTAGAGATTTTACTGGTAGGAACCTCCTGGTTGCACCAGCCCACAGGGGATTATTGTGTCCATCCGTCCGTCGTGCATCCTAAAATGGGAGGGGTGGGGCTGGGTGGGGAGGGGCTGGTCACCCCGTGGTGCCCTTATAAAACTCAACGTTTAACCTACTCACGCCGGCTTGTGCCCGCCCTCACAGTCGAGCTTATTTGCGGAGTACACCACGCCGCCGTTGATCCTGGCCATTGACCGAGCAACCCAAGGTTCCTACCAGCTCCCTCCGCAGGAATGTGTTTTTACAGCCGCAATGTCACTGAGAGTAGTAGCGGTTGACCCCTACGCGACCTGCTGGACCGTCATGATTCTGGTTCCTGACACTGGTTGATTAACTCTTGCCTCTGTGATGCATTGTTAGCTCTCTAGTCGAACTACAATAGAATCTACGTTGTGTAAAAAAAAATGTAATCATATATAAATTGGAAATAATCAGCTGTTGTACGTGGTATTCAACGCCTGTAATGTGATCATAACAATAGATTTTAAGTTGCGTTATAAGTTTATTCATTACATCACGAGAAAATGGCCACGTTAGGCAACGATCACCCCCAAGACCCACCCCTCTGCCCTTCAACCTTTGCTTGACATTTAAGTGTGTACCGCTATAAAACTAAACTATGTTTATTTTACCAGAAGTGACCTCGCCGCAAATGATAGCTAAGCGAAGTGGCTTATCATGTCAAAAACTATTGCAGCCAAATACTGTAAATGCACGTTGTTGATTCTAAATATGGAGGGGAAAACCGGATGGTCCAGAGAAAGATCCATGCGACCACGGGAAGAAAAGGACACGCAAACTCAAAATATACAGGAGGCGTCAGGGTCGGCTTCGAACCCACGACCTCATGTACACCAGGCGAAGTAGTTAACATCTCTTAGCCACCATGGCGCCCACCGCTCATTTACAGGAGGACATGGATCGGGGCAAGGAGGTGTTAACAATCAAGAGAGTTACTTGAAAACCTAAAATACCCACACTGACGCCACCACACACACAGCTTAGCTGCGACAACCTTGCAGTCACCGGAATAAACACCCGACACTTCGGAAAACCAATTTTAAACAAAATGCAATTTCCCTACCTCCTCTCAACGCACCGCGATAAACCGCGTGAGAACGACGAACGGGGATCAGACTCGAAGGGGGGTGGGTTGGGGGGTACCCAGGAAGGTTTATTGGTGCGGTTGCAACGATGCATGAAACGTGTTGGAAAAGGATACAAATCTTTTTGGTTCTTTCGGTAAAGTCACGTAGAATGGAAATAATAAAATAATAAAAATAAATCTGAATAAAATAATTCTCACGACGTTTCGGCCACAACGCAAGCAGCCGTCCTCAGGTGAAGAACAGGTCTGTCGAGAAGACAGAGTCTGAACCCACGACCTCCTGTACATTCAGACTCTGTCTTCTCGACAGACCTGTTCTTCACCTGAGGACGGCTGCTTGCATTGTGGCCGAAAACGTCGTGAGAATTATTTAATTATGTTTATTTTTATTATTTTATTATTTCCCTTCTACGTGACTTTACCAAAAGAACCAAGAAGATGAATCCCTGCAGTCACGAAAGCTTTAACTCGAAAGGATACAAAATCAAACAAAAATTAATTGGGAGAGACGGGAGAAGACCGACACAAAACGTGTGTGCGACGAACCCCCCCGGGTGTCCGACGAACCCCCCTGACCCCCTCCAAGGTGGGTCAAGGGGGATGCCGTAGCTCATCCCAAGGCTGTGCCCTGGCGGGGTGTCCCCAGGGGCCTCGGATTTTATCGTCGGCAGCCGACCGCCATCCACGACGGGCGCGAGCGGAGAGGACCGCGCGGGCCTCCCTCGCGGCAGGCACCCAACTCGGGCCGTGGACTCGGCTCGCCGGCATCGGGCCCCAGTTGCAGCGGGTTTGGGGGTGGGGGGGCACGAGCTTGCGTCCTCCTAACGACGTGGCTTGCTGCCGCACGGTGGGATTACCCGCGGAGACATTGGCAATGGCCTTAGCGTTTTCGCTTTTCGCGCGAGGTGGTGGGGAGAGGGGCCGGTTGGGGGGGATGGGCAGCCATTTCTTTGAGGCCTCCAGGGGCCGCACTAAAGGCCACGCGGGGCCTTGCGATGAAGAACGCTGCCAGTGATGTTGTCAGTGGCAATGGATGCCATGTTTTGGGTATGCAATTTAAAACGCGCGCCACCTACACGGGGGGATCCGGTTCTCCCAGTGGTCTCCTCGGTCGGAGGATTCTGACCCGTAGGTGTGCCTGCAGTCGTCCGCCAGCGATCACCTCAGGTGATAGCGCCCCCTCCAAGTTGAACGTTATCATAGGAGAGCATTGGCGGAGGTCGTGAAAGGTCCCATGTTGTAGCTGGTCACTCCGAGCTATGAATGCCCTGAGAGTGGCATTGTCTTTGTGCTGTTCGCCTTTTGGCGTCCTCTGGTCGAACACCGTTTGAGACTGGGCTCTCAAGAAAGCTGTCTCTGGTGCTGGTGTGGACCAATCAGATTCAAAGGCAATGCCATATATTTGACCAGAGCATGTTTTTGTTTGCATGTTCACCGCAAGTACCGTGTGTGGTTAATGCAGGCGGGATTCCTTGAAAAGGGATTCTGTTTAGGTGTTTTAACATCTTAACACAACTGTTTTATTGCCAGAAAGGGTAAAACCTCATTGTCGTGTCACCGTTGGTTAAGGCACCTCCGATTAGCACTCTTAGCTACATACGGTGCGAAGGAAGTTCAACATGACGATCGAAACGTCGTAGTTTTTTTTATTCTTTTAAAAAAAAATTCTATCTACGTGACTTTACCGAAAAAACCAAGAATACAGGTAGATTCATGCCTTTTGTGTTTAGTTTGTTGTCCTTCCCCCGCACCTCCGGTTAGCACGGCTGGCTACATCCCCCGTCCGTAAACACATCGCCGACCGCGCCGTAATGCAAAGTGGCAAATACAATACGCTCCTGTCGAATGCCAGTCCATGCCTCGGACCACGATGATGCATCTCCGAGCTGCACACGAAGCCTGCTTGCCGTCGTACACACCTGCTTTGCTCACCTGAACGTCCGCACGGCCCTTCTCTCACCGATACCGCAGTGTGCGCTCGCTTAGAGTTTCCGAGTCAAAATGTCCTCCGCACATGCCCAGCTCTTCTCTACC